TGATGGAGGGAGATAACACCACTCTCCTCTGAGAGGTCATGATGGAGGGAGATAACACCACTCTCCTCTGAGAGGTCATGATGGAGGGAGATTACACCACTCTCCTCTGAGAGGTCATGATGGAGGGAGATTACACCACTCTCCTCTAAGAGATCATGACCACACCACACTCATATTAGGGTCGCAAAATCATAAATCATTCATATAAGAAAGCCATGTGTGGGATTTTTATGAGAAATGATGAAGGTGAAATAAACAAATACAATCCACATCAGTGGCCAGACCGTGATTCGAACCCTGGACTAGATTATATACTATCGCTCTATCCGGCTGTGCTACCTGGTCTACGGAAATCAGTAATCGCCCAACGGCTGTGCATCGTTCATGTAAAACTAAAACACGTGCGTCTTCTTCTCTCCTTATTTTTATTCTCCAAACATCTTTATGAACATGATTGTCAATTGTCGATTCTAAATTTGAAGTAGGGCGGATTAGCTATCCGGATAAAAGTAAATCATTGGTAAAGGGGACTCTTAGTATCAAGTTACATAATAAACGTTATCTCAAGCTCACCGTCAATGCTGTGCTGTTTATTATATGACAAGTGCCCTGGTCCGACTGTACTTCAGTTATAGGTATTAACGGGAAACTACAGAGCAGTGGAACAGTGATCCGTAAGATATATATATATATATATATTAAAGTTTTGGTGAAAGCAAAACTGCCGTTCCCTATTACTTACCAAACCTACCGTCCCCTAGAGCTATTGACATAATGCTTAAATACGTAGCCTGAAGGATGCTTCATTAATCAAAACAGAACTAGATTTGAAAACCTTCATAACGGTCTCGCCCTTAAAATACAAGCTTCTGAATGTAGATATGTTACAGCAATAAATCTATGCGAGCCCTTAGTGAAACTGATGAGTGTATCTGTCTAAAATGAAAGTTCAGTCAATGTTAATTTTCTGTGCACATTTTAAAAACAACCGGGGAAATGTCTTGTCTGTCAATTACCGAATGGTGACTACCCTAAACCTCTCTTATGTGAGCGTGATAATAACCCAGTTATGCTCTCCCCTTAATTAAAATTAATTCCTTTCTGCGAGCCTGTGGTAACGCTCTACCTGCCCCTCCGTTTCCCACTCATTACTGTCCCGCCCCAACCCCTCATTAACTACCTCCATTCTATAAACCTCAAGTCATACCCACAGGGACCTGGGAATTTGCTACGACTATATTTGGGCCTAAACTAAGGTGTTCGGAGTAATTTTGCATGTTTTAGGGGTTTAGATCGACTTTGAATGTCATTTTTTCAAAACCCATAAAACATGTTAAATTACTCTGAACACCTTAGTTTAGGTCCAAATAAAGCTGTAATTATCAGGTCCATGTGGTCATACCCTCTACTTCCCTTAGTACCGTTATGTAAGTTTTCAAATTGTTGTTACGGGCAGAAATTGTTAGTTTAGTGATTTTTATACTTACGGTACTGAAATCCCCCGACCCCCACCGTCCCATCGTACAATAGGTAGCGCGAACCTATGTTGTCTTCGTTCCCACACTTTTAGCGCCATCTCGTGTCGGAAAGCTGTCAAAATCATTCAACTACGTCGTGCATCAGCCCCGACCCCCTCACCCCGTCTCCTACCTTGTCCCCAAAACTGCCGTTCCCTATTACCTACCAAACCTACCGTCTCCTAGAGCTATTGACACAAAACGTAGCCTGAAGGATGCTTCATTAATCAAAACACACCTGGATTTGAATATTAGAGATTTGTATTAGATACGGTGATTAATTGTGTTGTATAGGATCGTTTGTTTTAATTAAATTGCTGACTGGTGGCGTTTAAATGTAAATCAAACAGATTCCCTTTGTGACGGTAGACTGCAGTAGAGGCAGACAGAGAGGCTGACATTTAGGAAAATAAATAACGGAGGCTGGATGATGGGATTGGCTGATTTTTTTGATTTTTTT